GGAGAGGAGAGGAGAGGAGAGGAGAGGAGAGGAGAAGAGAAGAGAAGAGAAGAGAAGAGAAGAGAAGAGAAGAGAAGAGAAGAGAAGAGAAGAGGAGAGAGTGAGGAGGGTTTGGGGAGATACAGTGCTCCATGTGCTTCTTGGAGATTTACAAACATTGACTTGGCAGATCCTTACAATAGACCCCTGCTGAAGACTGGTATTTGCCTTTTACTAACTGGAAACTAAAGGCCAGCATATAGCATACAGCCCTGACCCAGAATTCTGGCCCCTCCACTAGCCAGCAATGCATCCCATTCACTCTGCAACAACTGGCACCCCACAAATAACAAAAGTGAGGACTCTACCTCTCCTCACATAAGGTTGACGCCCACGAACGCTGTATGCCTGACTTCCAGGTCCTTGGACTGAATAGTGGCCTTCAGAGCTGCTCTACTTAAGAAACATTCCCAAGAATTTCAGTAGGCTGTGCAGGGGAGAGTGAGAACACCACTTAGATATTGTTGTGCCCTCGAATGGGAACCAACCCAGCCGATTTTCAAAAGTAAATCGCCAGGCAGATTGTCCATCTTTCTCCTGCAGAACAGCTAGTGGTTTCAAAAGGCATGCCTTTGGGTTGGCAGTGAAGCACCTTTACCACTAGGCCACTAGAGCTCCTTTCTTATGTATGTCAAGCAATTATCATTTAAAGTGTTCTGTGACTTTTGGGGGATCTCCATTAGGGTGAATCATATGAAATTGCTGTTTATGTGGAAATATCATTAATATCACATGCAAGCAAGATTCTGCTGAAAATTATCCAAAAACTTTTGGAACAATATGTGAACAGAGAACTTCCAGATGTGCAGGCTGGATTTTGAAGAGATCGTGGTACTAGGGATATTACAGCTAATGTTAGATGGATCTTACAGAAGATTGTCTATCTGTGCTTCATTGACTATGCAAAGACTTTTGACGGTGTGGATCACAACAAGCTGTGGCTGACTCTGAGAAGAATGGGAATCCCAGAACATTTGATTGTGCTAATGAGAAACCTATACTTGGACCAAGAGGCAGTTGTCAGAATAGAGCAGGGAGACACTACATGGTTCAAAATCAAGAAGGGGGTTCGTCAGGGACGTATTTTGTCTCCATACCATTTTAATCTGTATGCAGAACAGATCATCCGAGATGCTGGGCTGCACGAGGAGGAATGTGGCATCAGGATTGGTGGAAGAGTCATCAACAGCCTGCGTTATGCAGATGACACAATCCTGCTTGCTGAAACTGAGGATGACCTGAAGCACTTGCTGCAGAAGGTTAAGGACTGCAGCCTCCTATATGGATTGAAGCTCAACATCAAGAAAACAAAGATTTTCTAATCACTGGGCCAATTGGCAGCATCAGCATGGATGGTGAAGATATTGAAATAGTCAACAGTTTTAGTTTACTTGGTTCCACAGTCAACACTCTTGGTATCAGCAGCCAGGAAATCAAGAGACAAATTGCATTGGGAAAGTCAGCTGTGAGGGACCTCTCAAGAGTACTGAAGAGCAATGACGTCAGGCTGAAGACTAAGGTGCACCTGATCCGGGGCATAGTCTTTGCAATTACGTGCTATGCATCAGAGAGTTGGACAGTGAATATGGGTGACAGAAGGAGAATTGATGCCTTTGAGCTGTGGTACTGGAGAAGAGTATTGAATATACCATGGACTGCTAGGAGAACAAACAGGTTTGTCCTGGAGAAGGTGAAGCCAGACTACTCCTTGGAGTCAAGGATTCTGAAGCTTCATACTTTGGGCATGTTGTAAGGAGGAACTGGTCCTTGGAGAGGGACATCATGTTTGGCAGAGTGGAGGGGTAGCAAAGGAGAGGAAGACCTTCGATGAGATGAATCGATTCTGTGACTGGAGTGGTGGGAATAAGTGCATTTGAGATAGCTACGTCAGCACAGGATAGAACAGAGTTTAGAGCTCTTGTACATAGGGTCGCTATGAGTCGCATGCAACTCTATGGCACATAGCAACAACAATATGGGTTATAATCCCTCCACATCCCTCAAGCTCCTCTCGTGGCTTCTATACACACACCACTCACCACGTGGCTGGCAGTGTTTATAGACAACCACCAAGATCCACCTGAAGATATTATCCATACCCATACAGGGAAGGCTTGTTAATTCAAATGATATCCAAATTTGTATGCACCAACCATTAAAGTAAAAGTTCAAGAAAAAGATGAGTTTTAGCAACTTTTGCAGTTTGAAATTGATCAAACAGGCAACCAAGACACATTAATAATTGGTGACTAAAATGCAAAAGTTGTAAACAGAGAAAAACCAGTAGTTGGGAAATACAAATTTGGTGTCAGACTTTGGTGGCTTAATAATGGGGTTGCTCTGCCAACCCAAAAGCACATAATTCAAATGCACTAACTGTTCCACAGGAGAAAGATGAGCAATCTCTTCATTTATCATTTACATCCTATAAAACCACCTGGAGAATTACCTATGTTTGGTGACACAGAACAACACAATTGAGTGAATAACACAACTAAGGCTGGAGAGAGAATAATTGAATTTTGTATAATTAATGAGTTATTCACTACAAATATCTTATTTTAAAAAACATAAAAGGTGTTTATACACATAGATCTCACCTGATGGACTACACATGAATCAAATTCACCACATCTGTAGAAAGAATTTCTGGAAAAGCTAAATATCAGCAGTCAAAACAAAGCCAGAGACTGACTGTGGAACGGACTCATGTACAAGTTCAAATAGAAGTAAAAATTACAGAAAGGGCACAAGAAACAAAATCCTCAGCAACCTTGAGTTGATCTCACCTGAATTTAAATACTATCTAAAGAATATATTTGGTGTGTTTGAATACAAATGATAAAGAACACATGAAGTATGGGATTACATGAAGAATATCATCCTTAAAGAAAACAAAAGATCATTACAAATACAGGGGGAAAGGAAAAGATGGAAACAGATGTCAGTAGAGACTCAGAAAACTACACTAGAATGTAAAAGGCCAAAATGCTGGAGGAAAAGAGAAGAACAGAAGATTTCAAAGAGCAGCATGAGAACATAAAGTATAACAAAATGTGCAAAGAAATTTAGAAGATCAGAAGGGAAGAAAATGCTCAGCATTTCTTAAGCTAAAGGAACTGAAAAACAAATTCAAGCCTCGAATGGCAACATTGAGGGATTCAATAGACAAAATCTTGAATGATGCAGGAAGCATCATAAGAAGATGGAGGGAACACATGGAATCATTGTATCAAAAATAATTGGTTGATACTGTATCATTTTAGGAAACAGCATATGGCCAAGAATCAATTAAGGAAGAAGTTCAAGCTGCACTGAAGCCATTGGGGGTGGGAGGGATGGAATAAGGCCTCAGGAATTGATAAAATATCAATTTAGGTGTTTGAACAAACAGATGCAGTCCTGGACAAGTTCA